TAAATGTTCTTAGAAAACAAGCGAGGGAACTTCTAAATAAGATCAATAAATCAAAATCAAGTTTTTCAGTTAAGCTGAGTACCTACAAAATATGCACTTAAATATTTTGTAGCGTAAAGAGAGTTGAGCCTCCGACAGTTACGATTTCATCCAGTACTTGCATTTCAGCGTATCAGGTGGGGACCCCGTACTGGGTATCACATATTCTATAATCGTTTTACCATGTCAGAAGTATGTTTGTAGAGATAAAGTTATATTGTCTGAAGGGAGATTATTGTACCTTAATTACCCTCTTAGGTTCTGAGGGAGACGAATGTTTCTTAATGTTCCCTTGGAATGTGCACATGATTTACCAGCCTAGTTTGTCGGGAGATACCGACCCAGTTTGCCGGGAGACACCAAGCAGTTCCGTTCATTTCAGTTACATATATGCTTATTTTATGATATTGTTATTATAGTTGATGTATATCCAGTGCCGGTTTCTGCGGAGCACTGGAATTTTATGCTCATGCCACCACTACCTATCTTTTGCAGGTGACGGAGTCTAGCGTGGCGCGTGAGCAGGCAGTGGTGGTGGTCACAAGCTTAAGGCTATTTTTGAAACACGCCTATTATGTCATTAGAATTATTTAAACATGTCTTTCGAACCACGTGTGTCCTTATTTTAGCTTCCGCAGTATCTGACTTATTATGTAACTATGAGATAGCAGACTACGCATGTTTAATTCCTTTATCCCCATGGTATCTTAGTCGAATGGATTTGATTCAGTTGCATGTATTCTTTGTCTGAGTTAATAAAGAGATAAAGAGATAAAGATATAAAAGCTAGTAAGATAGTAAGTAGCATCCCGCAAGTCAGATAAAGTATTTTCGAAAATAAAGTTAGTTTTTTTTTAAAATAAAAGAAAAAATTTTACTCAAATTTTTATAAATCTAGAAATAGAGGCGGGTGTTACATGGTAACTAAGAAAAATGGACTCTGTTTCTCTCTCTCTTTTTTTTCATGACGATAGGAAAAACTCATATAACAAAATAAATGTTCGAGTACAAATAGAGCAACACCCTAATGCCGAAGGAATAACCAGAGAGCACTACTAATGCTAGCAGGCTAAATACAAGAGAAAACTACCAACTATAACACCAAAGGCAGTAATACATAAATTGAGTCCCCCAGTGCCATAAAATCAAAGAAAACAGATACAACACAACACCATAATAAGGAGAAAAGAAAAGACTAGCCACTGAACTAACTAAGTAGACCTAGCTTGTCTTCTTTGTCTCTGATGAGCTCGATTGGTGCCAAGCTTAACCGTTTCTTGCCATTCTTCCCAAGCTCCAGATAGAATGCATCTGTCAGGTCTCCAGTCCTTTTCAAATACCCAAAGATTGCGCAATTTCCATAGCCACCACAATATATATGTGGTGAGCTCTATTCTTCCTTCATCCACTGCAGTGTGTCTGATAGAGCAAATAAGTCCCCACCAGTCTTTGAATTCGCAGCCCTGCATATGAATTCCTGGCCAAGAGACCTGTGAGTGCTTCCAAACTTTCTGAGCTCTTGTGCATTCAATCAGTACATGTTCTACTGTTTCTACTGCTTCACCACAATTGCTGCAAATGATATCCACTTCCATCCCTTTATTTCTCAGATTAGTATTGACTGGAAGAATGTCATTGATGCATCTCCACAAGAAGTGTTTCAGTTTGCCCTTGACATGTAAGTTCCAAGTTCTCTGTCTGATTCCTTGGTTCCTTCTGGAGGTACTACTTCCCTCAGGTAAGTCTAGAAAAAGCAGTTTCTTTTGGTGAAGGAATTTCTAGGATGATGCAACTGAAAATGTACCCTTCTCTCCCATCTTCCAGCTCCATTTGTCATCAATTTGGGAATCACCAGTATGGATTTTGAGAATTTCTCTGCAGTCCTGTTCATCAATCAGCTCTCTCAGCTTGGGTTCATCCCACTGCCCATTGTCACTTTGAATGATATCTTTGACCCAAAGTTTCCCATGAGCATTAGGGTCTTTGAGTTGGAGACTCCTTCCTCTAATACCTGGGACCCAATTGAAGTCATGGAGTTGGACAGAAGCTCCATTTCTGATGTCAATCTGCAGCCCCTCCTCTAGAAGACCTCTGACTTTCCATAAAGATTTCCACACCTAAGAGGAATTTTGTTTCAAATCTGCTGCAAATATAGAAGAGTTGGGAAAGTACCTGCATTTCAACAGTTTGCTCATGGGGAGGTTTGGTTGGGAAAGTGTTCTCCATAATTGCTTCACCAGTAAAACCTCATTAAAAAGCTTGATATCCCTGAAGCCAAGACCTCTTTGCTGTTTGGATAGTGTAAGTAATTCCCATCTTTTCCAATGAATTCCCTTGGAGTGATCTGGTCCTTTGCTCCACCAGAATGTTGCAAACATGCTAGCAACTTCTTTACAAGTGCTTAAGGGTAGTCTGAAACAAGCCATAACAAATAGTGGAAGGGCAGCGAGAACTGCTTTAATGAGAACTTCTTTGCCTGCTGCTGTGAGATGCTTGTTTTTCCAGCTTAACAATCTATTCTTAACTGCATCAGTTACAAAGCCAAAGACTTCCCTCTTTGATTGCCCAATTCATAGAGGTAACCCTAGGTATCTCGAAGATTTCTGCACTTGAATTCCAGGGAAAACTAAACACACTTCATTCTGGATAGCCATGCTTGTATTCTTGCTGAAAAAAACTGAAGACTTTGCCACATTCACTTTTTGACCAGTGAACCTTTGATATTTGAGGAGAATTGACTGGAGAACTTGGCTTTGGTATCTGTCAGCTTTACAAAAGATTAAAGAATCATCTGCAAATAGTAAGTGAGTGAGTACAGGAGCACCTCTGGCCACAGAAACACCTCTGAATAGACCTCTCTTCTTCTCAGCATTGATCACTGCAGATAACACTTCTGAAACAATAATGAAAAGGTAGGGAGACAGTGAATCTCCCTGCCAAATCCCTCTGTCAGCAGATATATAACCACTAGTGCAACCATTGATAATAAAAGAGTAGGAAACTGTGGTTACACATTCCATAATCCAATTCACAAACTGAACATCAAACCCCATCTTGAGCATAGTAAGTCTAATACTGTTCCACTCAATCCTATCAAAGGCCTTCATCGTATCAAGTTTTAAGGCCATAAAAGCATGTTTACTTGTTTTGTGCCTATTGAGAAAATGAAGGCCCTCATTGGCTATTATGACATTATCACTTAAGAGTCTGCCCGGAAGGAAAGCTGATTGGGTTTCATTGATGCAGCCTTGAATGCAGTGTCTTAGTCTATGTGCTAGAATTTTAGAGATCAGTTTATAAACTACTGCACACAGACTGATAGGTCTAAATTGGTATAGGTTTTCAGGGCCAGCACACTTGGGGACCAGAGCAATCAAAGTATGATTCTAGTAAGGAAGTAATTTACCTGACTGAAAGAAACTGCCCACAACATTGCAGATATCTGATTTAAGCAGGGGCCAGAAATGTTGGAAGAAAATTGCTGGCATTCCATCAGTTCCTGGAGACTTCCCAGGGTTCATTGAGAACAGTGCCTGCTTGATTTCTGCTTCTTCTACCTCAGCCACTAGGTATTTGTTGTCCTCTTCTGTGATGGATTGTGGTATATTTTGAAGGAGAGCTGCCCCTCCATAAGAGCCCTCAGAGGTAAAGAGGGTGCTGTAGAAGTCTTCCACATGACTTTCAATTTTCTCTTTGGTGTTACAGACACTAAGATGATCAGTGACAAGTCTGCTAATAGCATTATGCTTTCTTCTCTGCATCACCCAAGCATGGAAAAAGTGGGTATTTTGATCTCCTGCATTCAACCATTGGGTTCTGGTCTTTTGTTTCCAGAAGAGCTCTTCTGATATGTTGGCTTTGTCCATCTCTCTTTGAAGTTTATCCCACTCCTCTCAGTTCCTTTGGCCTCTTTCCTCTCTCATAGCTTCCAATTTCAAAGATAGAGTTGCCAGATGTGCTTTCTGAGATGATCTGAAATATTTGCTCCATTGCAGCAAGGCAATTCTTGTCTTTTTGATCTTCTCTTTAGGCTGTAGAGTGGAGTACCTCCATAATTGTCTGCCCAGGCATTCTTAACAGTCTCATCAATTCCCTCTCTGCTGATCCACCTTCTATCAAATTGGAATCTTCTTTGGTATTGTGGTTTATCTGGTTCAGCTTCTAGAAGAAGCATGTAGTGATCGGAGGAGCTCTTGAATATTGATGTGGTTTGGGTTTGAGGGTAAGATCTGAGCCATTCAGGAGAGACAAAGCCTTTGTCCAAACTTTCTTCCACAAAACCCTCTTCATTTCTGCTATTCCCCCATGTGAATGGATGACCCTTATGGAACACTTCACCCATACCCATATTTGAGATAAAAGTCTGAAATCCCAAGCAACTTGCTTTGGATCTCATTCTGCCTCCCTTCTTGTCTTCTGGCTCAGACAGGTCATTCCAGTCTCCAATCATATACCAGCTATCACCCCAGTTTATCTTCTTCTGTTCTAATTCACACCACTGGCTTTCCCTTATTCCTCTGTCAGTACTGAGATATACAAAGGTGGCCCATCTGAAAGCTCCATTGCTGTGAAGCCTGAATTCAACCTCAATACTATAAGAGCAGCTCACAATTTGCCTTGTTTCCACATCACTATGCCAAGCCAGCAACAGACCCCCACTTAATCCCCTAGGCTCAACCATCCTGCACCTATCAGCAAACCCCAAATTCTTGCAAACTGTCATAGTGAACTTATTAGTGTTTTTAGTTTCAGATAAAAAGAAAAAATGTGGGTGGTGGGTCCTCAAGGACTCCTTGAGTTGGGAAACTGTACAGGCCCCACCCAGGCCTCTACAGTTCCACACCACAACTCTTATTGTTCACCTTGGGGCCATTTGAGGCTGGCCTTCTCCACCTTTTCAGAAGAGTTCTTCAATCTCTTGTGTTCTGATTCCTCTACCTGAATCCCCTCCTCAACAGTGTTTAGAGCTGTTCCTCCTTACCTGCCTCTTTTGAGACTGTGCATCTGGGAATGGTCATCTCCATCCTGTTGTTTTCTTTGTAATCTACCTTCCTTGTTCCCAGCCCTTTTCCAAGTTTTCAATTTAGAGGTAGGCACTTTATAAGATTGAGGCTAAGAGTCATCATTTGTAATGATTAGTGCTCTTTGAGTGTTGTGTGGTTGGACTTCTACTTCCACTATTTTGTGCAATCCATGTCTTCTTCTATTAGAGGTTTAATCATTTGGAGTTCAGATGGTTGCTCTGCCTGCTGTGAAGGGCTAGGGTTATGGAGAAAGTCATGTCTAGAAGAGCTAGACTCAACCAGACTGAGATTTTTATGAGGCTGATATGGTTCTTCTGGTTTGTCAGTGATGAGTCTGCACAACCTAGATCCCGTTGAGATGGGAGGATCAGAAGCCTGGTTGAAATCAGGTGGAGGCTCAAGCCCCTGTTCATTGGATTTGCTACTCTGCCCAGATACATTACTGCTTCTGATTTCAGTGGCTTTCAACCATGTACCATATTGACCTGCTTTCATCTCCCCACTTGCTATATCTCTTGCCAATTTTTGACAATCTCTATCCAGATGTCCCAGCATACCACAGTAGAAGCACAGGTTTATGAGTCTTTCATACTTGAATGTAACTGTAATGATTTCATCCCCCAGCCTTAGAGAAGTGCATCTTGGAATAGGCTTATTAACATCCACAGAAACTAGCAACATGATGATTCTGCCTCCAAATCCCCCTGCTGTAGTTATTCCTACATTGTGGGTTGTTTAGAAGACCTTTCCAATCTTCAGACAAACATCTCTACTCAACCAGTCCATAGGCACGTTATGAACTTGTGCCCATATTTTCACCTCTTGGAAGCAACTATCCTTTTCACTGATACCTTTTCTCCATTCATGTAAGACCAGATACTGATTTTCATATATCCAGTTTGTACCCAATAATACTTTTTGCATATCATCCTTGGTTTCAAATATAAACTGGAAGAAGTTAGGGGAGATTTCACGAACCTCCATTCCTTGTTGAATCCTCCATATCTTTTCCAGAGTTCTTTTGAGGCCAAATAGAGAGGCACGCCGATTACCGATTATTTTCGCAACCAAACTTCGACTGCATTCCTCTGCACTGATCTTTATGTCCATATTGCCTATGTCAATGACAAGGCTCTCTTCGCCTGATAGCGAAAAGTTCTTCAAACGATGGGCCATTTCCTCCTCCATTCCCGTGTTTCCTCCAGATGTACCCATTGAGTTGGGAGAAATACCCTAGAACTGCTACGCACTGAATCAATTGAGAGTTTAAGGAAATGTGATTAGGTAGTGAGCTATGGATGGTGAAGAAGCCTTCAAAGAAGGAATGAAAGCCCTCAGATGACGGAATTTTCCCTCAGACGACGGAATCGTACTCCCACCTGAGAGAATCTATTCGCATGTATTTCCTTATTTCTCTTTCTCTCTCTCTCTCTCTCTTTTCTTTTATCTTCTTCCCCCTAAGCGTTTACACAATGTGGCCGATATTTTGTGATATTATACTCTTAGATAAATTCGCCCCCTCTTTTCTTTTCTTGGTTAGGACTTTAATTAATTAATTAAGAAAATTACTGATTTAAGGAAATTATTTAGGAAAAAATTAAATAGATGAAAACATCTACTTAATTTCTAATTGATTAACAAAATTAAATAGACGAGGACATCTACTTAATTTTTATTTGAACAAAAGACAAGTCCAGTTTAAGAAAGATAAAATACAAATGGACTATGCTCTTTCATAAACAAACGGGACACTACAACAACTATTTGAAAAACGACATAAAATGTTGCATGTACCATTTCACGCTATCTGGACGGGCATGCACAATGTTTTATTGTTCATCAATGCCCTGCAATTGAATGATTAATGAAAGTTATCAAGTCATAAATGCCATTAAGGGTATATGAGTGTTAAGATCATAAGAGCATTCACAATGTTTTAGGTTCAATCCCAAAAAATATGTCACTTAAGAAAAATAGACTCAGTGTAAAAAAATATATTCTCCAATGCAAGGAAAAGTAGACTGGGTCCGGCTGATGTGGCAGCCACAAAAAGAGATCCGGTTAGAAAAAGAGACCCCAGTGAGGAAGACTTCTAGACATCTTATATTCAATATTATATTATTTATTTTATATTTCTCTCTCCACCAACTAATTATTATCTTACACATATCAATTTATTCTACAATTGACAGTCATCATTGGAGTTTATTTCTTTTCTGCACAATATACATATCAAAATAGACATAATGCCCACTGGAGATGCTCTAAAAGGATGCAGAAAAAAAATAAAATTACATAATGTAAATAAAGTTAAAAAAGGGAGAAAAAAGAATGTGGTGTTGGGCTGGAAAATTATTAGGGAGCAATCATGCCATATTTATGAACAAATAGTATATATATTTTTCAGCAATTTTAATGACCCGCATCAGCATGGGGTCTAAGGTAAACCTATTCATTTTCTTTATATTGTTGAATAGATATAAAAGTGTTGAGGATGGATTATATTGAGTAATATGTTACCCTGTGAGGTCTTGGGGAGCAGTGCATGTTTTATTTTGTCGACTGTGGAGCTGATAAGCTTGCTGGCTACCGAAAATGATACCATAGATAGCTTTGCATTTGGAGCTGAGTTAAGCAACACCTGCTACAGAAAGACTTGTTTATTACCAAATTTATTCCCATTCTAAATTGAATATATATAAAGAGAGAGAGAGAATGTGAACCTGAAGTGCAATAGTCAAGAGAGATCCTCCAGAATGAGCAGGTTGTGATGATGAAAGTCCTCTGGCTGTGGGCCCATCTGGAAGAATGGCGAATCCTGATGGAAGGAAGGGAATCAAACTTGGATCTTCAAATGCCACCATCTTCTCTATTGGAGCATAAACAACGTAAGATGCAGTTGGATCCGTACGACTTTCTTGCAACATAGTCACATCTCCGCTGCCACTCTACATAGCCATTTTGTAGAATGTTTTTGCCAATTAAGTTTAGTAAAATAAATTAATTAATTTATTAAAATATCATTGCAAGAATGAAATAAAACGTAGAACAAATGAGCTTATAATTTAATTGTTTTATGCCGATTAAGTTTTGTAAAATAAATATATTAATTTATTAAATATATCATTGGAAGAGTGAAATAAAATGTAGAACAAATTAATGAAACAAAATGTAGAACAAACTGTTTTTTTCCAAAATAACTTAACGATGTCCTAATATAAAAAGAATTAAATAACATATTACAACCCCAACAAAAAACACTAAATAACTAAATAATGACTAACATATATTATACATGCATTAGTTCTTTTATTTGTTTATGTTAGATGATTCAATAGCGATCTCTTTCATTTTGGTTTTGACGTCCTCATAAGAAGCATTGCTGATTCAATAGTATTACAAAATTCATCTTAATTTATTTGGCAAAACGTCTACTTTATTCAAACACTTAAAAATATTCTAGCCAAACATAGAGTGAAACTTCATGGTTGTATTATCTTTATATTTCTACCAACAATGCATGAATATCTCTGCAAAATAACCAATCATGTCATTAAAATTATTGTTTATTTTTTATCATTGGATAAGCTACTATATTACTCTATCTCTATATATAGACAAATTGATACCTACCCAATGAATGTATCGCCCTACGGAGGGGAATGAATTTCATATCTAAATAAACGTTGCCTTTTCAAAATCTCTATTATATGTACTTTTTCCAATATTATTTTTTGAAATCATCACATATTACCTAAAAGTACATACTCTAAAATAATTGCACATATGTTCAAGCACAATACACCAATGAAATTATAAATATTCCTATAAGAAGTGTCAACTTCATTCAAACATTCAAAAATATTTTGATCAGGCTCCAACGTTTCATTTTCAATGTCATTTATTTATAAGATAGACGAAATATATAATCTATTGTTTGCAAATTATTGACCATCTAGTTCTTGCAATGATTTTAGAATTATTTATCTTAATGTCTTTCACTTCGTTTGGATTTGTAACATTTATGTGTCCAATAACTTTTTTAATGCTTTTATCGTCCAACATTATGCATCATACATAATGTTCAGAAAACTCAAAATAAAGATCATTTTTTATTTTTCACCAATGACAAACCAAACAAAACAAAACAATGAGACAACATTGAGAAATATATCATTTGTTACAATAATTGAGATGAGAAGAATTGGAATTCTATTTTATGACTCTTAGTCATCTTTGAACTTTATTATTACGAAATCATTATTAAAATCTACATTATGTATTATAAAGTTTTAAATTTTTAATTATTTAAAATTAAAAATTGATAATATAAGATCATTATTTATGAGATCCAATTTTTTACAGAGTCCATATATTTAAACGTAGCAACAAAAAAAGTATTATTTTTAAAAGACTTTTTGTTTCTAAATATTGGTATCCATACTTGTCTAAGAAAATTAAGACGTTTTCTTTTTTCAATTGCATTACTATTATTTTATTAGTTTTTTATTCTATTGATAAATAATACTTTATTTATTAAAAGAATTATAGCACATTTATATGTATTGCATCATTTTTTGTACGTGTTTCATATAATGACGTTTTTATCAAAATATCTTATTTATTTGGAAACAACTAATATAATCACATAAGATAAAATAAAATTTAATATTACTTATTTATTTATTTATAATAATATATTGATAAAAGATGTACTTTTATACTGATTATTAGACTAAAAGGTTTAGAATTTTTTCCCAATAATATTAAGAAATTAACTCATTTTTATACTCATTGAATTTATGTGTTAGTTGAATAATAATTTAACATACAACTCGTTATTTCTCCTTTTAATTCACATGGTTAATATTGGTGATAGTTGTATGTTTAAATCCATTGTTTGTTTTTTCTTAGTATGAATTTTCGAATCTATGTAAGAAAAATATGGCACAAGTGTATGTTGTGTTATTTAATACTTAATGAATTTATTTAACATGGATGTATAATTTATTTTATAAGATACTTTCAGGTCTATTTATTATTTTAAATTCGTTGATAATTGATATACATCATTAGAAAGAAATGATATGATATATTGCATATAAAAGGGTAACAAATGAAAAAATAACATGTATTTTAAAATTGAAAAATTAATGATAGAAAGTAATTAAATTTTTAATTAAAAGAATTTAAAACTAACATAGTGAATTTTAATGCAAAAAGAAAATATTTTTTATGAACTTAAAAGTTCAAGTTAAAATAAATGTGCATATTTAAGTATGTTTGATATTTCTCATTACCTAGCTTCAATTGATATAGGAAATTAATTAATAATTTTATCACTTTTTATTTTTTTTTTAAATTTAGTGCGAGCTATAAGTTTTCTCATCATTCTTACCCCTTGTTTAGCTATTATAATACTAATAAAATAATTAGGACTTTTTGACCTAGATGTATCTTGTTTGTTTTGAAATAGTTTACTAATTACCATAAATTAATAATAATTAGATTGAATGTGTTATATTTTCTATCATTATCAACAATTTTCATAATAATTATTAGTTGCGCAAAATATTATATATAATGCAAGTTTTTCTTATTGATTTGGAGCCCTACCTTTACTACAAAAAAAAATGAGAAAATTCCAATGAAAATTTCAAAAAAAATATATTACAAAGGAATTCATCAAAAATTCTAATGAATATTTCAATGTTATTACTCCCGTTTGAATTTTCCAATATAATTCTAGAAGAAATTATTTTATTGGAATCATGAGCAGATCTATGTTTACTTATAGGTCTGGCACAGCCCTCCATCCCAAAACATATAGCGTAAGGAATCTTAAAAATTGTGGGAACATTTTTCATAATTTTTATCATGTCCCCTATATTAAAAATGAAATTAAAAGAAAGACACATACATATAATTAGTTTACAACTCAACCAATTATAATTTAATTCAACTCATAACTTTATTAATGTTATAACATAAATGCGACATCACAACTAAAGAACATATAATAAATCTCAAAATTACGACCCGACAATTGAGACCAGTTTTTTCATTTATATATTGAGATTATCTATACCTTTTATTATCATAAATAATTGTATCACTACGATATAATACCGTAATGATTCGCTAGTTCACGCCAAGTTTTCAAAATTTTTATCGGATATATGATATAGACTTTTCTATTCCTATTTTAATAGACCATTTTGAATTCAATAAAATGCAAAAGAACATTATTGATGATAGTTTCAAATCTCTCTTTTGCAACATATTTTTTGCTATATCTTCAAGATATATTTTTTATGTCTTTTTTAACTAATGCAAGGGGAATTATAGTTATATACTCATAATTTATAAATTCATCAATTGTATTGCCGAGTCAGCTATACTACAACATAGATTTTTTGTTTATAATTTTTTTTAAAAAAAATTATTTTCAATGATTTTCTTATGTTGAATTGAGAAAAATCGTCATTTTTTTATTAAATATTTTTTAACTTATCGTGACTGTACTGATGTGTTAGAATGTATTACAAGTGAGAAACATGACAAATTAAGTAAAATATAATTTATAAATTGTAATGGCATTATGTTATTTTGATGGTATACTTTTTCTATTAACTATATAGTGTCCCAATATAAAATTATTTTGGATCCGCCACTGCAATTAGTTTTTCAATGGAACTTCTATTAACTTTTTTACAATTTCAATGACAGTTTTTTCAACGGTCGAAATATGATCCGTACAAAATTCAATAGAAATTCAAACAAAAATAAATTATAGTAATTGGAATCATTTAATTCACAAATTTTCAATGTAATTTAATTTGATCTCTGTTGGAATAGTTAATGAAATTTTTCAATAAAAGTTATACCAATGAAATATCCGTTGGAATTTTCATTGGAATATCTTACATATGCAGTTTCTATTGCAATATACAATTTTTTTCATTCCTTCTTAAACATTATATTTTAGGTAGTAGTTATTGAGTAATTGTGTTTACAATATTTCTATTTAAATATATTAAACGCATGAAGTTTTTAATCCATATAATTTTTTTAAAGTAACTCATTATTTTATCTCAAGATTACCTATTATATTCCCAATTAAGTTACATTTATTACATATTAAATGTTAAATAATTAAAATAATTATTTTTTATATATTTAATATGATATATATATATATATATATATTATGTAAAAAAGCTAATAGCAAATAAAAAGTAATTTAAAATTAGAATAATCGAGTGCTTTTTTTTTTTCTAACCTACATAGATAAAGGTAAAAATAACTATTGTATCACCTAAAACTTACACGTAGAATTAATAAGTACAAAAATTAACAAGTATTTAACAACATCTATATATATAAGTTTTACAAGGTTTATGTTTACTTTTATTAATCATGACATATTTACTTATTATTTTTTGATATTTATTAGTACGTGTTACAACTTAGTAATTTTTAATATCATTGGTCAGATTTAATATTTTTTTTTTATTTTTTATTGTTCTTTCATATGTTTTTAACTTTTGTATTTGCTTAAAAATTCATAATATTATGTATAGAACTTTTTCAGTCATATGTGCTAATATATCAATTATTTGTATATCTTAATATTATATTATATACAATTACAGTTTTCTCTTTAATATTATAATCAATTTTTATAATTTATAAATTCATCAACACTATTGTCAAGTCAACTATACTACAACATAGATTTTTTGTTCATAAGATTTTTAAAGAATATTTTATTTCGGTCATATGTGTTAATATATCATCTATTTGTATATCTTAATATTATATTATATACAATTACATTTTTCTCATTAATATTATAATCAATTAGTCATAATTTATAAATTAATCAATAACATAGATTTTTTGTTCATCAAAATTTAGAAGATATATTATTTTCAATGATTGCTTATTTTTAGTTGAGAAAAATTATGTTTTTTTTGTAAATACTTTTAACTTACTGTAACTGTATAGATTTGCTAAACATGTATATTTCAGATGAGAAAGATGACAAATTATGAATAGTATAATTTATATATTGTAATGACATTATGTTATTTTGATCGTATAATTTTTCTATTAGCTAAATAGTGCCCCCAATATGCAATTGTCTGTATCTACCACTACAATTAGCTTTCCAATGCAACTTTCATTGAATTTTTTACAATTCCAATGAAAAATTTCCAACAGTAGAAATATGTTCCGAAAAAATAAATTAAATGAATTCACACAATAATAAATAATGGTAATTCGAATCATTAAAAATTCCATTGTAATTTAATTTGATCTATGTTGGAATAGCCAGTGATACTTTTCAATGAAAGCTATACAAATGAAATATTCTTTGGAATTTTTAGTGGAACACCTTATCCTTGGATTTTTCATTGCAATATAGCATTTTATATTTTGCATTTCCCTTTAAACATTAAAATTTTTATGTTGTAGTTTTTTTATTAAGTAATTGCGTTTACAATTTTTTTATTAAAAATATATTAAACACATTATTTTTTTAGTCCATATAACTTTTTAGAAATCACTCGTTATTTTAACTCAAGATTACCTATCAATTTCTTTATTGAATTACAACCTTTTACGTATTAAATATTAGATAACAAAAATCATTATTATTTTATATTGTAATATGATATTTATATACTATATTAAAAAAAATTAATAGCAAATAAAAAGATATTTAAAATTAAAATAATTATTTTTTTAAATAATAAAATTTCCAACCTATATGGATAAAGTACAAATAATTATTATCTATCACCTAAAAGTTACACATAGAACTAATAAGCACAAAAAAAATAAAAAGAAATAAACAATTCAATTCATTTACATCGATAAGTATAAGTTTAAAAGTTTTATATTTACTTTTATTAATTATAAAATTTTTATTTATTATTTGTTTTCATATTTATTAGTAAGTCTTACAACTTAATTATATTTTTAAATTATTCATCATATTTAATATTTTTTTACTTTCATATTGTCCTTCTATTTACCACACATCTTGAAAATCAGTGGCTCAAATAAAATAATAGTAATTAAAATCTCATGATATATTTTACTTAATTATTGAATGTAAAATTTATAAATTTTAAGTGTTAATAATTAAAATATTACTCACCTTGATATTAACCATCTAATGGTCAAGTGAAAATAATTATTATTTTATATTGTAATATGATATTTATATATTATATTAAAAAAACTAATAGCAAATAAAAAGTTATTTAAAATTAAAATAATCATTTTTTTAAATATTAAAATTTCCAACCTACATGGATAAAAGTACAAATAACTATTATCTATCACCTAAAAGTTACACATAGAACTAATAAGCACAAAAAAATAAAAAGAAATAAACAATTCGATTCATTTACATCGATAAGTATAAGTTTAAAAGTTTTATATTTACTTTTATTAATTATAAAATTTTTATTTATTATTTGTTTTCATATTTATTAGTAAGTCTTACAACTTAATTATATTTTTAAATTATTCATCATATTTAATATTTTTTTACTTTCATATTGTCCTTCTATTTACCACACATCTTGAAAATCAGTGGCTCAAATAAAATAATAGTAATTAAAATCTCATGATATATTTTACTTAATTATTGAATGTAAAATTTATAAATTTTAAGTGTTAATAATTAAAATATTACTCACCTTGATATTAACCATATAATGGTCAAGTGAAAATAATTATTATTTTATATTGTAATATGATATTTATATATTATATTAAAAAAATAATAGCAAATAAAAAGTTATTTAAAATTAAAATAATCATTTTTTTTAATATCAAAATTTCCAACCTACATGGATAAAAGTACAAATAACTATTATCTATCACTTAAAAGTTACACATAGAACTAATAAGCACAAAAAAATGAAAAAGAAATAAACAATTCGATTCATTTACATCGATAAGTATAAGTTTTTAAAGTTTTATATTTACTTTTATTAATTATAAAATTTTTATTATTATTTGTTTTCATATTTCTTAGTAAGTCTTACAACTTAATTATATTTTTAATGTTATTCATGAGATTTAATAATTTTACTTTAATATTGTTCTTTTATTTAGCACACATATTGATAATCAGTGGCTCAATAAAATAATAATAATTAAAATCTCATGATATATTTTACTTAATTCTTGAATGTAAAATTCATATATTTTAAGTTTTAATAATTAAAATATTACTCACCTTGATATTAACCATCTAATGGTAAAGTGAAAATTTGTTAATCATATTCACTTTGTGACTAAAATTGAAAAAAATAAACAATCAAACAATGACGATTTTTGTGGGATCAAAATTCAATCCAGTAAGACTAAACTGCAATTTCTATTATATTTCTAAATATAAGAGTTTACTTTTCTTAAATAATGAAGTAGCTAAATATATTGTTCAACTTTTCTCGTTTGTCAGAATAATGTATAAAAGTATATTAAAAATAGGAATTTTTTTAAAACAACAATTCTATATTTTTTCAAAACTTTGTTGTTTAGGTTGATGTTGGGTTGATTTTTGGGGGATATGTGGAAGAAAGCCATTTCGTGTGACATAATGGTGCGGGAATATTGTGTTTGATTTTTAGAAAATGTGAAATGTATTGTTCATGTATTTGTATTTAATTAATTAAGCATTAGTTATTAGTTAAAAATATAAGATATGATGCGTATTAGTGTATTACTAACTTGCCACTAAAACCATGTTAAAGTAAAGGTTTTTTAGGTAATTTATTTTTTAATTAAAAATATAAAATAAAATTTATATTAGTTTATTACTAATTTACAATTAAAAATATGTCAAAGTAAGGTTATTTTAGGTAGTTCATATTTTTACAAAAACACTCGTCCTTTTAGAGTACTATAATAATATAATAATAAAAAATAAATAAATAAATATCAATAAATATAGATAGATAGATAGATATAGATTATATTTAAATTAAATTAACCGTGTATTTTTATTAATTATGTGGAAAAGTTAAGTTAAGTAGAACAAACATTATTTTTTATGATTGTTCTTTTCTGATAAATTAGCTGTATTTCTTTCTTATATTTAAACAAAATGGCTACCTACACAATATTTTTGGCAAAAATTCAATTTTGGTCTCTCTACTTGTCTAATGTAATTGTTTGGCACACTAGTTTTCACTCACCAATAATAGTATGTTATGTTGCAATTTGTATCACAATTGGAGACATTATATATTCCAAAAATAGTTCACTATTTTTTTGAGATTACTGCCTTAAACATTACACGAATTGCAACATAACGTACTGTGTTTTTATGAATAATGTCCCAAAATTGATACAAACAACATAACATACTATTTTTCATAAGGAGAAAGTTAGTGCACCAAAAAAGGACTTTATACAAGTAAACGAATCAAAATTGAACTTTTTTCCAATATATTTATATATTATTATCATCACAGTACCTTTACTTGATATACGACAATATGATTGCCCAACTCATTCCCAGTCCCAATCTGCATCACCTCCTCAAATTCGCCGCCATTTGAGATCACATCCCACTGGCATGGCATCACAACAATATGATTACAATGTTACGACATATATAGTATGAGGAATGACTACAGTCCCGTCACAGTATGATTCCGTTCTTTCAATATTGATCATTAGATCTTTTAATTTGATAGAGACTATTTAACAAATGCTGATATGTTACTTTTTTATTGGAGGTCTATTTGGAGAAATAGTTCCAGTACGGGACTGTAGCATTTTCCTATAGACTATGAATGATTCCAATGTAAACAGTTGCCTGAAAATCGCTCATTCACCTGTTTTCGGTTTTGGTGATCTCGCAAGAAGTCAAAGACGGCCTTTGGAGGGACTGGAAGCCATAAAGAAGTTGCGACACTAAGATGAATGCCAAAGGGCATGGTGATGTCATCCACATTCTTTCGACTCATAACTCTGACCGCGTCATTGGCGTTCCCCGAGAGAGTTGACCAAGAATTTCCATTTGATGAATTCACACCACGGCAAAACCTCGTCACCATTCTTTCTGCAAGAATCAACATGCCTTTCCTACTCTCATGCTCTGTTGTACCATAAAAGATTAGGCTTATTAAGAAAAAGTACAAACTTCCCAAATTTTGGCAGAAATTATGATGTACGTGAACAATAGCTATATGTACAATGCATCTACATATGTGTCCAGTGTAATTAAATATATGGTATGTAACTTACATGAGAACCATCCAAAAAAAAAAACAAGCAAATCATGAAAATTGATGTTCATGTTGTGTGACACATTGTTTGTGTTAAAATATTATATAAATCAAGTAAAGAATATAGCCTTGAGAAGGTGAGGTAGTGTGATGATCACCTAAGCANAGCATGTACCTTAGAATGTTCATTTGGCATTTCTTTGACTAGACAGCCTGAGGGTCTTCTACGGCATGAGACGAATGGATTGGGCTGCAATAATTGATCTAAAGAAACATCCACCACAGCCCATGTGCCATCCACGTCTTGTCTGCAGTATCTCGCAAAGTAGCTTTCACGAGTCGGTACAAGTGGTGAAGGAACTTGGAACTCCGCATTAATCTGCAACACAAATGGAGATAATATGTACCAGTCTCTATGTAAGGAAAAAAAAAATGTTTAATTTTAAAGCTCAGAACCTATGTATAAAACGTTTATAGGAGTTTTTTCAATACAAGGTCCGAAAGATAGGTAAACTGTCAAATCGAGGCCTAAAAGATTTTTTTATTCTCAGGGACCTAAATGTTAACAAAACCCATATAACACCATTAAATTGATTGAGAGTTAATTTAAAATTTTAAAACAGACAAGCTAGTTGATGAAACTATCATTTCTACCTGAAAGTTTCTACTATGGATACTGCAGTCATTGATTTTCCTTAAATACACATTTCATATTCAATATATATATGCATGAGAATCGTAATTTATAAGGAGCATGATATATGTTTCAATTTTACCACGTGTATAGCTTCACTGTAACTTCCACCAACTCCAGGTGAAATAACTTGCAAATCGATCCCTCTCGAGACCACAGCCGAGAACACGTTGGACCATTTCTCCTACCAATCGTAATTATTGCCAAAGTCAAAACAAGTTTAATAAAATATAAGTAAGTAAATAGAGAAGAGTGAATTTATATGCATATGCGTATACCACATCCATGAGGATCTCGATAACTTTAGTGCTACTCATAGCAACAACATCCGTTTCTCGAGAAGCTTCTGACTTGAACCCATTTGGTTTAGGCCCAAACACTCTAGAAAACGACCTTAAATACTCTTGTTCGTTCAAAGACGAGGTTGTGTTCCGGTCCATGGTTGTCACCCATAATGGCTCTCCCAATTGAGCTATCCTCATTAGCTCCTCCATTGCTGCCTTAACAATAATCACAATCTTGGACTCTTCACTTTGCTTTGGGCTATTAATTATCATTGATCTCCTCAAAGTGCTAGCTGTCAATGCTGAGCTGCAATTTCCTAGTGTGTTCGGCACGTACTTGGTCATGGACGAAATTTGATCAATCTATATGGGCAGAGACAAAACTAAACTTTTAGAAAAATATATAGGAAAAACTACACTTAACGCACCTAACAATAGTGTTTTTTGCAACCATTCAACTTTTTTTTCGTCGTGATGCTTTGACTATATAACATTGCGAAAAATTGCACTTAACCAACTTTTCAGTCATTCAGTTAATTGTAATTGAAAAAATTACACTTTACCACCTTTCTATACGTTTTTGTGCACTTTGCCGACTCAACTTTTTTTTATTTACGCTTTGCTCTGAGATTAGCTGGACGATGACTGGAAATTGGTTAAGTGCAATTTTTTAGAATGTTATATGGGCAGAGTGTCACGAAAAAAAGTTTAGTGGATAAATTGCAAAAAATCCTATAGTTAGGTGGGTTAAGTGTAGTTTTTCCATACAAATATATATAGTTCAATAAATCTGTTAAAAAGGTTGTCCTTTTATTCAAATCAAAGAGGAAGAATGATTAATTAATTATTATAACCACGATTACATTACCTCTTCGCGTAAACGAGCATTCTCATTCCTTAATTGTTGCTCGTGAAAGGATGTTTCTCGTATGGGTGTTGGGCCGCCGCAAGTAGGGCAAGAAGCATTGCTTAGGACTTCTCTGTACCTCATATTTTCAGCTCGCAATTTTTCGTTTTCAGTTCGGAGCAAAGTGTTCTCTTTATGTTCATGCTGTGTCTGTGTGGAATTATTAATTGCACAAATGGGTTATTAATTCTAATATACTATGTATTGTAATGTATATATGCATAGGTATTAGGTACCTTCATTTGTGTGCGCTTGTTTTGGAACCAAAATTTGACTTGCATGGGCTCCATTCCCAGTTCAAGACTAAGCTCTGCTCTCTGCCTCTCGTCCGGATGTGGACACTCTTTGAAAAACCTGAAAATCCCAACAACCAACATTGACTCATAATTTTAAGTTGTAGGCAGCATTATAAATGCATTTCGTAATATTACATTAATGCCTCCTTAGTTTTCCATTTACTCTAATCAAATCTATCATGTTCCCACTCAATTATTAAAAAGACAAAAATAAGATTTTTCTTTTTCTAAGTTTTAAGAGTTTTAGCTATGAAAAAAATAAAAAAATAAAAAAGAAAACTGGCGTTATCACTGACTTCTACTGCCAACATCGGCGATGTCAACTGCAACTTTCACCTTACATCTAATCAAGTATGAAAATAATAACAGAATTTGCGTTATCAAGTATGAGACTTATGAATTTGCAATCATTCACAAGCTTTTTCAGGCGTTTCCCACTCTACAAGCCTCAACACAATCCCTATACCGTATATTCAACTGGAATTCTTAATGATTTTTACAATTTTGGTGTACTCAATTTGAGTTTTTGAGACCTCTACATAAATATTTATATTCAATTTAGACTTTCAATTTTTTTATAAATTTATGAACAAATCAGATTTTGACGCCAATTGCATAATTTCTCATCTTATTTTATTATCTTTCCTATATATAATTATGGAATGCGTTGAGCCTAAGTGGCAAACTCGCACGCTTCGGATTCCTATATGACAAAATACCATGCTTCGTAGCTAGACTTGGATACAAATTAGTATTTTTTATAAATCGCCCCTACATATTAATTCAGAACGTGCTGAACCTAAATCGTAGGCTCGCACGCTTCAGAATTCTACTTGGCGAAATTTCATGCTTCGTTATTTGGTTTGGATAAAATTATTGTTATTTAATTCTATAAATTTAGGTTCGGACATTCCATATATATATATTAAAACATTAACTTAGGTAAATTTCATAACACTTTGACTGATATAACCCTCTAATTGTTTTGTAATCTTACAACTAACAACAATCAACGCATATTTATTTGTAATATTACACAGAGCTAACAGAGTAAAAAAAGGAACCATCAATATGCCATTAATTTCTTTCCAAATGAATGTGTCTGTCATTCCAATTGAATTTTCTGTCAAAATTAAAGCTCTTCATCGCACTTTCAGTAAGGTGCCATCTTTGATTTATGTTGGTTAGTTGATTTCCCACAATTTGATGAACCCTAGCAATGGGGTTCGATTGAATTGAGCTCGATTTTTTCGTTGTTGGAGAGAAAAAAGCACAGTCCTCTTTCACAGTCTGAGTTTATTCTTCTGAATTCCAATTTTCTCTTCCTTCAAACCCTAGCACTCTATGTCGGTGTTCTTAAGGCGGCAATTGCCAGAGACCCGCGTATTACATATGGATCACTTCGATGGTTGCCGGCTAATGTTGATGAAGAAGATCGACTTGCACTTAAGCATGTCGACGCCACGTTCGCCTTGGCCTTATGCAGAAACCGGTTCCTTCCTCGCGATTAATGGTGCGAATCTCTTGGCCCTTTTGTACTTTCTTCTATTTACTGTACATATAATTTGAATAATTTTAATTTAATCCTTTGTATTTCACCTTTATTAAACTTTTTATTGTTGTAATTTTAGGGATTTTATTGTTGTAATTTTGGGGATTAATAGATGATAGTCTCCATGAATCAATATTCATCCCAGAAAATCTTGGATGCGAGGTGAAAAGAAAGACCATCCCCCGTTTTCTGTCTCTTTTTTCCCAATATTTTATCAAAATCACATAAATCACAATAAAAATAATTTTTCCTTTAATTTTGTGATCATTTATATTATTCCTTATTTTTTGTATGATAAATATCCCTACATGTTGAAGTTTCACTTATGGTAAATTTTCTTGTTTTGAAGTTTCATGTCTGGTGATGCCTAATGGAAGTTTGTTTTGAGTCAAGTTGGTCGTAGTATATTATGGCAAATTTAATGTGATCAGTTTATTGTGGAAGTCCAGGAACCAATGGTAAATTTCAAAATTCCTTAATGCCGGAGATAGAGGTGGTGAAAGCTGTTGTGAGGGATTGGACAGAGTTTAGTTTTTTCTGCTAAATAGCTATTTTGTTTCAGGTTGGAATGACTTATTGCTAGGTCCTTGTTTAAGGTTCAGTGGTAATTTGCTGCTTTGACCCTTCTTTTCATTTGGTTGTGGTATTATTGTGTTGCTCATTGCTACTGCATTTAACCTGCTGGAGGATTCAGTGATTGGTACTGCCTTTAGTAGATGGATTATTGATGTGTTTGTAATATGTGTGTTATTGTTGGGAGTCTAGTATTCTGTTTTCTTTTAGTGTTCATGTTCTGTAGTTTTGTTGTCTTTTGGTTTTAGGGCACCAGGAGGTATGACCCTCTGTAATAGTTTGTATTTTATGGTTTGGGGTTCAGTCGAGCTCCTGGGATGTAAGACCTTGTTTATTCGTGATATGAGTATTTGTCTGCCATTTTTAGAAAAAAAAAAAAAATCTTAATTCACAAGTAAGCATTTTTGGACTTGATTTTCTATATATTTACAATAATTAAATTCTTTTACTCTTTTTGTTTAAATTATTTTTTCATTCACCCGTGTAGTACACGGGTGTCGTACTAGTAATAATTATGCTTGGATTGCATTAAATATCTATATTATTCAATTAAATCTGCGTCTCTTCCTTCTTTTCATATACATTTAGGAGGGTGTATTCAATTGGGATTTAAAGTGATATTTTAAGACTTTTTAAGATTTGAGATTTGTTAAGATTTTCAGATTTTGGAGAAATTCCATGAAATCTTAAGTCTGGAGGTGGGATTTCAACTAGTATTTCGTATAAGGTTTTATATTTAGAAATCCCACCAAATCTTAAAAAGTCATAACAAATCCTAGTGTCAAATAAATTAAATACCTCAGAATTTTGTAAGACTTTTTAAAATCCCAATTGAATACCTCAAGATTTTTAAAAGTCTTAACAAACCTAAATTGAATACACCAGGATTTCTAAAGTCTTAAAAAGTCCTTAGAAATGCTAATTGAATACACCCCTCTTAGTTACCATAAACTGTTTTACGTTCCTTTTTCCTACAATGCCGTATATTACATTTCATTTACATATTTAATTCATACACCAATTATTATAAATGTGCCTTCTTCTTAGTTTTTAAATTTTATAACTTTTTTGTTTGTATTTGTTTTTTAAACATGATATATCAAATTAATTATCTTTTAATGATCTTTGATTTGACATCCATATCCCCCTTATATATTAATTGAGAACGTGCTGAGCCTATGTGGCAGGCTCGCATGCTTCGGAATCTCATGTGGCAAAAATACATGCTTCGTTATTAGGCTTGGGTAGATTTAGTTTACTTCTAATCCAAATATATTTAGGTTCGGATTATCTATAATATGTTGATTATTTATGGTAATGGTGGGCGCCGGCCGGGACGGTCCTGGATTTGACTTGTCCGGATACCCATCCCATTTTTATGAACCCGTCCATGAATGGTCCGGGATGAGGCACCGTCGGCACCCATGTAATACATGGGTGTTGTACTAGTTACATATATAAAATATAAAAGAACTAGTGTATATCCCGTGCGATGCACGGAAGAGTTCATATTTTAAACATTTTTGAGACTTTATTTTAAATATAATTATTTATATTTTTCACATCTCGTCTATTATGAAAATAAAATAAATACAATCAATGAAAAATATATAATATTAAATATTTTTCTTTATACAATATTTTTTATTGAAGGAATATTATTAAACCTTACGGTTTTGATTTGTTTTTTTAAATCAATAATCCAAAATATATGATTGTTAACGTACAAAAAATAATGAAAATAATCCAGACTTTAAAGTAAAGCTATTTTTTATTATTTTACAAATAAAAATTTTCCAATTTTTTTTTTAATTTAAAAAAAAAAAAATTGGCAAGTTTGATAATGAGTTAAATCAAGTTATACAAATGATTAAATAGTTAAAATGTTATATTAATTATATTTTAAGAAATCCGATTATATAAAAATGGGTAAAAAAATATTATACTAATTAGTTTGTTAGGATTGTGATTATATGGAAGTTAAAATAAAATGAAATGTAACCAAAAAATTTGTTCGTGGTTTTTTCCTAAATGTTTGAATTTAAAAATCTAGTAACCAAATTTACATTATATCACGTAAGGAAAAAAATAAATAATAAATATTTATTAAAGAGATAAATCAATAATATTTATCACTTAGATAATAAATAATAAATATTTACATGTAAAAAAATAAATAATAATATATTTAAAAATATAAGTCAGAATTTCAAATAAAGTAAAAGGAGGGATAACTCATTTTTTAAAAAAAGTTTCTAAATATTTAATATATTGATAAGTATCTCCATAAGAATAATCATACCATTTTAATTTTAAAAAAATTGGCAAGTTTGTTAGAGAGATAAATCCGGTTAGACAAATGATTAATTTGTTAAGATATTATATTAATTGTATCATAAAAAATCGGTTAGATAATGTAGATAAAAAAATATAATACTAATTAGTTTGTTACAATGTGATAATGTAAACCAAGATAAAATGAATTTACCCAAAAAAATTGTTTGGAATCTTTTCTTTTAAATGTTTGAATTTATAAATTTAATACCGAAATTCTATTATATCACATAAGGAAAAAATAAATAATAAACGTTTATTAATATATTAAAATATGTAATTTCGAATTTCATATAAAGTAAAAGGTATGCTTATTCAAATTTATTTTTAAAATAAAAGTTATGATAAACATTTATTGATTCTCTTTCAAATATATTAATAAAATAAAAATATAAATCTAAACAAATTTTGAAACAACCAAAAAAATCGGATTGATTGGCATAAAAAAAGAAGTGAAATCGGATTTGAATGCTAAAATCGGAACACCTTACCAAATTGAATGCTAAAAGATTCGATTTGATTGGTTACCTAATTGCATGGGCTGAAAAAATTCAAAAAAAAAAAATTTACGAATTGAAGAAGCGGGAAAAATACTATATTGAAGCGGGAAAACGAAATGATT